TTGATTTACTGGGAGATACAGAACTTGCACACACCGAGCATGGTTTTATGCTCCGGGCTGAATAATAGTAAAAGCACGGCGTCGTAAAACTGCAATCAAATAATGCATTATCGTAAATATACGGCTGTATAATGTCCGTGTAAAATTCTGATGGTTTATATATCTCGTCCATGGCCGGTATCTATGGTCCAGCAACAATGCATCACCTGAAAATGGCGCAATGCTGGTTTTGCCACATATCATAAATAATGATATTAACTATAACCGAAAATTTTGAAAGCGCTAATGTATTTTTATGGATACATCCAAATTTCCGCGATGCTCATTTAAATTAATTATCTTTTTTATACAGAAAAATAAAATTTTTTTTCTCAAAAACTCAAAAAGTAAAAATATTTAGAAATTATTCTTTGTATGCACTTTTAATATTTGCTCTAGTTTTTTATAAATATATTATATGTTCACACATACATACTCACACACATACTCACATATATACATTATTATTAAGACGAAAGACATTTCGATTAAAAAATTAAGAGATTAAAGAGTAATTCTAATTTTTTAAGAGATACAAAATTATGATTAAAGATCTGTTGATATAAGGAAAGTACGAAATAAAGCTTTAACATTTCGTAATTATTGACCAAAAAAGCGAAAAGATCGTTGGGGAATAACGTGACTATAAACCGAAATAATCGAAAAGAGAGAAGAGGAGACGAGTAAAAGAGAGTGAAGGAATGCGTTTTCACGATACGATCTACTTTTTCCAGCGAATGAACAGAAAAGTCGCGTCTTACCTCGATTTCATGACGTTTCATCGACCGAGTATGTTCGCCTCTTCTCTCTCATTTCATTTTGCCTTCCTCTTTATCCTTCGCTCATAATTCTCAGAACACCTCGCACCATTCTTTTCAAATGCAATAAGTGCTACAGAAAGAAAAGGAGAGAAAGACGGCAATAGGAAGCACTGTCTTGGAACACCCCGAGAGAACTCTATGTTCTTCCGGTGACGCTCAATTATTACTCGTGCACGGACCAGGTCAATCTCAGGCTACTTTAAATTACTTACTCAGCGTGATATTCCAAAGGGAGAAGAAACTTCGTCGTGGGTTTCCTCGGGGAAATTTCGTACGACAGATCGAAAACTAATTCGTCGCGCGAGGATCAAAACTAAAGCGAAATGTTGGAGGCAATGAATGAGACGCAGCGAGACGAAGAGAAACGCAGAATTCACAAGGAGAATCGAATCATTATTCTCGAGCAAAGTTTTATGGAATCGCACGTTTAGTAATACAATCGTAAAATGTTATTTCGAGCACGGGGATAAACAAGAGAAAAGGCGGTCTTTTGCCAATCTACGATCGCCAGCATCGCGTTATGCGTCGACTAAAATAGCGAGCGACGATGTGACGATTTGGCGCGGAGGAAACAAGCGGAGGAAATTGCCAGTTAGTTGAAAGTTCGATTTTTCAGAGCCAATACTGGTCGATTTGCAGGATGCGATGCAGCGATGGTAACGAAAAGTGGCAGAAAAGGGGATGCAGAATAGAGAGAAAGAGAGGAACAAAGAAAAAAAGAGGTGCAAGCTGCATAGAACGGCTAGAGAGCTCAACGTAGGTAGGAAATGAGATCTACAAGTGAGCGAACTGGACAAGCGCGGGTATATCGCCGAAATGCAATTTTCATCCGACTGCAGTTGCCTGCTTCTGCGAACGCAACGGCTGCAGCTGCTGTCGCGCCGACCAATTCTCTCCCTCTTCATCTCTCTCCTCATCTGTCCCAAGTTTTTATTCCACACCGCGTCACCATTTCCTCGATATGTTTACTGGATTGATTGCATTCGCGTAGATAAATAATCTGTTATTACGATAAAACAATCTGCGCGCGATGTTGCGAAATACGTCGTGACACGTAGGGCTGGCATATGCTAATATGTACAGAGAGCGTCGACCCGATTTATTGGTACACCGCAGACGATTGCTCGATGATGAATAGCGTGCCACATCGCAAAAGTACACGTTGCAAAAATGTAAAGTGCGATTACGCTTATTTTTCTAACAGAAGATTATTTTTTACGCTACGATAACTCTTGCCGAACGATTCTTGTGCCGGATGGGATAACAAAATTCGCGAAATATACGTAGGAGAAAAACGCGCAGACAGCAGTATAGAAGAGATATGAATAACTAGAGAGAGAGAGAGAGAGAGAGAGAGAGAGAGAGAGAGAGAGAGAGAGAGAGAGAGAGAGAGAGAGAGAGAGAGAGAGAGGAGAGAGAGAGAGAGAGAGAGAGAGAGAG